TAAAATTTTGCCATGAGTAGAATAAAATTAATTAAATGTAGTTTGTCACTTTCCTTTCTATTATTGTTATACAGACCAAATAAAGCATGTTCCCATTTCACAGCAAGGGAATAATGAATTTTGGAGGTGATGAATACAGAGATGTTCTAACTGTGACATCTAACTATCCAGCTGTGTGCTGGCACCTAGGCTGACATTGAGGAGAACACCTTCTCTGTCTTTTCTTGGCTTTTATTGAACAGAATAAGAATGCAAAATGAGACTGCGATATACCTGGCACCGTGTGCTCACGGGAAAAAGACAATAGCAGAAAAAGAAAGCAGTAGCAACACTCCCTCAGGGCATTCCATGTTCCGCGCCAACTACGATCACCCTGACACACCCACCTGTTACCCTTCTTATACTCTCCCGTACTGGTTCCTCCCCAAACCCCACATTGGACAGAACAGCGCGGGTATTTCACCGAAACAACGGTAACCAATACATGCACAGCTTTCAACAACAGTGTCAAACTCATTTGCACACAACAAAACACATGAAAATCGGTGGCCGGTCAGGGTCGCCACAATAGTTTCCACGCGCAGCTGCAGCATCGTTTTTGCAGCTGAGATCGCTGAACTACTGAACACTGGCTAAGTGAAGCAGAGGGCGTGTGTTCTTATTTTGGTTTCACACAGTAACTGGCCACTGTGCCACAGAGAGCATGCAGAAAACGGTGCATTTTCCTCAACCTCAATTATATCACCAAGACAACTGCCACCTTCAAGTGGCTGATGGTAATGGCTGTTACTGCTTCGCTGTAATGACTAACTGCACACCAGCTTTAGGTTACTGCATGGCTCTTAGTCTCAGTTCTTCAAAACAAGCCTCAGTGTTTCAAGAGTATGAGTCTGAAAAGGTCCTCTGTGCTCCACCAAATCTTCTTCAACCAGTCTGATTTCGAGACATTTGTTGAAATGGCCCAGATAGTTCTTCAGTGTATAGTCCATATTACAGAGCTGCACAGCATAACAACCACATTGTGTTGGAATAGATAGTACAGATAATACCAGTCTGAGGTCATAAATATTCATTATGTGTTTGTGTAAATATTATTTTGCAGTAGTTTCAGTTTAGGCCAGTCGACCGTGTTTGTTGTTACCAGCAGTGTCGCAGAATTTTCATGTTTACTTCTTGCTTAACTGCATCTCTGTACCTCTGAAGATGAAGTTCTGAGTGAGTTACGCTGGAACGCTCTGGTTTTTAAAGAGCTGAAGTGGAAGTCGACTTGAAGATACTTTATTTCAGGTCTGCTCTGCCTTGTTTTCAAACCACTAGCAGCTCCTCAGTGACAGGTCTCTTGTTACATCCCATAATAATGGATTGTGAAGCAGTGATTACAGTTGTCTCTTCCCTTTGCTCTCGTCACTGGCTGCCAGCTGTAGTTCATGCAGTTGACTCCTACCTAAAAAGCTGGGTCCCATTCATATCTAAAATCATCAGTCTTCAACCTACTTTTAAGGAGATTATTACAATTTCAAACCTCGTTTTTACATGTAAAATCTTGAAATGTTGGTTATTGAGAAGAATGGGGGAAAGGTGATACTTTTAGTCAGCAAAACCTTTATTAATAAGTAAAGTCTTAGACAAAATCTGAAATTGATCTGTATGAGTTAAAGCGCGGGCCGGGTGAAAACAAGGAACACATGAACAGTGCACATTTGCAATTCTAGCATTCCTCTGATCAGCTTTGTGTGGAGAGGGCCGGGGCAGAGTCACCGGATCAGGAGCCTCAGCTGTACCAGCAAACACACCTGAACCATCAAAACCAGGAAACAAGCAGTGCTCAAGATTCACGTTGTGCGAGAGAAAGGATGTTAGCACAGCCATTTATTTTGACTTTTCCAGGTGTCCACCACAGTTTCAACTCTAACGAGATGTCAGTTTTTGTTTTTCAGTGAAGTAAAATATGGGATTATCGGGATAGGATTGAAATATTTCAGAAGATGTTCTGTGAAGACAAGTCAACAGCAGCACTGAACCGTTTTCCCTTACACATAATACACACTGTCATAATTATGTAGCGGCAGAAATAATTGCAGTTTCATCAAGTCTGTTTTCCCTCTCTCCAGACTATAGTGGCCAAGTATGGGTCACAGTTTCGCGGTAATTCCCAACATGACGCCCTGGAGTTCCTCCTGTGGCTGCTGGACCGCGTCCATGAAGATGTCAGTCTGGCCTCACACAACAACAACAACAAGACCAAAGCTCCTGGAAAGGTAAGAGTGGGGCAAGCTGCTGGCCGCTGTAGCAGTCGACACCATCAGTCACGCTGAAGAACCAATACATCACTCATTATTATCAAATACATTCATTAATGCGTAATGCATCATGAACTCCTGTGGCTTATTCATGTGATTACGTGGCATCTAATGATCATCATTTTGTTAACTACATTTATTAACATGAGATTATATTATTTTTCAACAGGTTAATGTACATTTGATCACTTTCTCCAGTTGTCTTATGAGTCTCTGTGAAGGGGTTCTGCTCTAAATGTTATGTGGTAGCTCTTGTACTTACAGGTTCGCCAGCCCAAATGTTCTTGCATGAGCCAAGATGATATCTATTGCATGTAGCTAAGGATTGAGCTAGCACACAACGTGCACCGTACATGTTGTTTCTACATATCTTTCTTCATGTGGTTCCTATCTCTCTGTATGTGTTGTTTATTATCAAGCTAGTCAGTGTGACCTCACTGCTAACCTTGTCCAGAGGTTTGTTGCTAACTCCACAGACATTAACTCTCCAGAGTTGACCTCCACGTCTCAAAGTCTGTCCTGCAGTGCACTTTTCATGCCACTGAAACCAGTGTGGCAGTCAGAGGTGTGCAGCCTCTGGGTCTAATGTGCTGCCTGTGGCCAAGGAGAATACAAGTGCGGTGGTTTGGTGTTTGACTTTCTGTCAACACCTTTCCTCCTCGAGGCGGGCCTGCAGCCACACTGCATCTTGATACTCCCTGAATGCTCTGCTGGGAGCCACCGAAGCTAAGCTGTCATGTATTACTAAAACCAGGTTTTTACTGTTGAAATAGACATCCCTCTTTCTGTAGTATTATCAGGGTGATAACCAGTAGTTTCTGAGAAGTGCTATACACGTGTTGGTGACTCATTGCCCCTTGTTTCCTGAGGGACCACCTGCAGTGATCTGTTCTGTTGTTTCATCACTGGGGGAATGGGACATGTCGAGATCTGGACGTGAAGGCTATACACCGGGTATTCTGAGAATACAACATGCCTTTTGTAAGCTGCCTTCGCTTGCACTGACTACTTGTATCAATTTAAAGGGAGAAAAGGCGTTATTTACTGGAAGTGTGCCGTCAGCTCTGCGTAGCTGGCTAGTCTGTGGAAGTCAGCCTGACTCCTTTCCCCCCGTGTTCTTCTACTATAGTTGACCTTCAGGCTCTCCATTATCATGTCAGTGATTAAATGAGATGGTGGCATGAATTAAGAGATAGTGTTAGAGATCTGTGTGTGTCTGACTTCATCCTCGGTGGGACTCCACATCCATGTATCAACTGAAGTCTTACGTTACAACTCCCTCAGGTTTCTTTAGACAGACTTCTCTGATATAACAAACTAAGCGTCCTTGTTCTTGTGAGCTGAGCTGCCCTTTAATTAAGAATGAGAGTGAAGGATTTGTGAGCTGAGCTGCCCTTTAATTAAGGATGAGAGTGAAGGATGTGGTGGTGGTGGGGGTCATGGGTCTGGACTGTCTTTGGGTCTGCAGAGGACATGACAGGACACCAGGACTGAAGAGCTGTTGATAAGGTCTGTCATGATGAGTCTGCAGCACCTCAGAATCTGAATCGTCTTTAATCGACAGGTATGTGTGAACATATGGGAATTTGACTCTGGTACAGAGTCTCTCAATGTGTTGTAAGGCAACGGGAACAGACAATAACAATGACAATAAAAAATAAAAAGCAATAAAAATGGGAATAAACAGTGTTTGCATTCAAAGTGGAAATGTGTGCAATCAAAAATAGGAATGAGAGGAAAAGAGAGATGGCTTTTATAAATACTTGACATCTATGTACATTACAGCAAAAGAGCTTTCAGACTGATGTATATGATGGTTATATGATAGTTTATTGCACTGGGGTGATGCTGTGTCCGGTCATACAGTCATGGGTTAAGTGTTCATCAGAGCGACAGCCTGGGGGAAGAAACTGTCCCTGTGCCTGGTTGTCTTAGTGCACAGTGACCTGTAACGCCGTCCAGAGGGGAGGAGTTCAAACAGATTGTATCTGGTGTGTGAGGGGTCTGCAGTGATCCTCTCCGCCCTCCTTTTGACC